CCGTGGTGGGCTATTACTGCTGCCCCTAGGCAGAGGGGCCTAATTGGCAGGAGGGCATCAAAACTGCCCGGCATCCATCCCAGAGGGTGGGCAGTGCTGGGGAGAGGAAGGTGTAGGGCTCTGGACTCTTTGTCCAGTGGCCAGGGTGAGTGACCTTGGGCAAGTAGACAAACCTCTCTCTCAGCCCATTTTGTCACCTGGAAACCAAGACTGAAAATAAAAACCACTTCCGGAATGCAGGCTAAAAGAATCCGGACCACACAGACCGGCAGAAGGTGAAGCTTTAGTGCGGGATGGTCTTCAGCCCCTTGACACTGTGACACTCTAACACTGCCGGGCTAACAGTGAAGGAGCAGATGCCCAGCCCTTGAAGAGGACAAAGCTGACAATCCCTGTCACAGTGCCTTCTGGGGTCCATGGGCTTTTCAGGAGCAAGCCAGTCACTCCCCACCCCCTTTCCTGTGTACTTCCAGATGGCCACCGTGAACTTTATCTCAAAGCCCAAGCACCATTCTGGTGCCCACCCAAACTCTGTGCCTTTGTCTGTTCTACCCTTTGTGTGCCATGCTTTTTTTCTTGTGTCCTAGCGAGCTCCATGTTGTCCCGAAGACTAAGTTCAAAAGGCCAGGTGTTTCTCAAAGTGGCTCCCCTGACCCAGGTGGGTCCAGACAACCGGTTATGGCCTCCTGTGTCTCCCATCCTAACACTGTCTACTTACACCCTCACCCACCATCTACTCATCCATTTGCCAATCTGTGTATCCATCTATATATACACCTACATACCAGTCCACCTACCATCCATCCATCCACCCACTTATTCCTTACCTTCCCACTTGCCTGCCCTGCCTATCTATCTTTCATCCATCCACGCATCATTCATCCATCCACCCAATTATCCATCAATCCACTTACCCATTTCCTCATCTGTCCATTCATTTATTCACCCATTTACCCACCCGCCCCTCTCTCATTCATCCACACTCTCATCTCATCCATCCATCCTCCCACCCGGCCATCTACCCATCGTATTTCCCAAATGCCTTCAGTGTGCATCTCTGAGTCCACTGAAATTCTGGACAAGTCTGGCTTTCCTTCGATCACCAGTTCCTAACTTTTTGGGAGTTAAGAGCTGTTCCTCAAGAGAATACACAAGTGCACATACATGCCAGATGTCGTTCTTCTCTGCAGGGATCCCTGGTCTTGGAGCCTGGCTGTTGTCGTGAGGAGGGGGACACCGAGCTATAGTCGGGGACTGTCTTGGTTTGAAGAAAACTGCCTGTGGCAGGCCCACTGCCAGTGACAGAGTGGCACCTGGTAAAGGCCGAGCCTCTCATCCCTTCGGTTAACTCGGACAGGCCCTGAGCTTCAGTGCTTAGGCCCAGGCTTGCCCTGCTGCCCCCCACCCTTCTCTGCCCCCAAAGGGCCACTTCCACGTCTCTCGGCGGGCTCCCCACAGGGGCACTGGGTTCAGAGCTCTGCAGAAGTTCCTTGAGGACAGGGCGGGTGTTTTAATGACTTCCATAATCACCGTGGCTTTTTCCAGGCAGGCACCTGCAGCTGCTCCAGAAGCATTTCCTGAATGTATTCTGATGGATTTCCTTGCCCCCAGTGGGAGAGTTCGTCTCAGACATTAAAAGAAAGGAATTGCCCTGCCACCAGATGCCAGGGCCTGGGGGTTGCTGGCCTGCTTCAGGGAAATGTACTAGGTTGCCAACCAAACTGTAAATAACCATGGGAACAGCAGTCAAGCTCATTGGCTGCTCTGACGCTGGGGGAAGGGGCCTGGCTGATGTCAGGTCTGTGTGGCTAGGGACCTGGCAGAGGCTAGACTGGCAACTCGAGGCTGGTGGTGGGGGATGGGAACCTGCCCATCTTATTGAGCCAATGATTTTGAAATTACAACTAGCATCACCCCTTCACCTTAAAACAAAACAACAAAACATCCTTAGAGCATTTAGGGAGGGCATCGTGTGAGTAAGTACCACTGTGGTAGTCAGAGGACAATCCGTGGGGGATTGTTGTCTCCTTCCATTGTGTGGGGCCCAGGGATCAAACTCAAGTTTCGGGCTTGGTGGCAAGCATGTTTTCACCCACAGAGCTCTCTTCACCCCTGGAAATTCCCCCATGAAACAAACACCCATTAAGAGACTCCTGTGTGCAGCCTCTAAGTGCCGGGGCTCAGTGCTGGTCGCTGCTTTCCCTTGTCGCCTGGTTAGGTTGTGATATTCTCAATCTGTGTACGAGTGCATTTCCGAACACCCCTGTCTTCACAGTTGCTCGGCAGATGGAATTTATGGGTGGAGAAACAGTCTCAGAGGGGATCAGCAACATGCCAAGGTCATCCAGCACAGCTGGGGCAGAGAAAAATGGATGCCTTCTAGATCCTTGGCCCCTGTGAGGTTAGGTTCCATAGTCAAGATGAAGGAGGCCCATGAATTCTAGCCGCACTGAGCCACCTGGGATTAAACGGCCTACATGGAGGAGCAGGGAGTGCCCCCTTTGCCCTGTCTTTCCCACCTGTTCTCGTTCCCAGGCTGGGAGGACGAGCGACTCTCCCCTCAAGTGCGGCAGTCTGCCAGGTGGCCAACACCCCCGGATACCCACCCCACCCCCCGGGAAGAATGACCCAGGAGCCCCACCCTCAGGTCGCTAGCCTGTGCCAATTCACGATTAAGTAAGGTGCTACCAGGTAGCATGGGGCAAATTCTCCTGGCACCAGGCAATTTCTCTCAGGCTGCTGGGGTCTTTATAGCCGGAGAAGAAACAGATGGGCTGATCCCCTGAGCCACCACAGTAGAGAGGGTACCAGAATGAAGATGCAGTATACCAGGTTCTCAGCAAGCCTCTGGCTTGTTCCTGTCTGCACACCAACCACAAGCATTCCAGTATATTGGGGTCATTAACCTTCCTTCCACTGTGGGCTCCTGAGAGAGGTGGTGGGCATGTAAGCACTTAAAACTCAGACCTAGGTCAGCCCTCTCCTTTCCGCTGCTGCAGCAGCCCCTGTGGCTGGGGACAGGCTGTACAGCCTCAGAGAGACCAGTCACATCCTCAGCTTCCCTCAACCTGGGCAAACGCCGAGTTGCCATGGTGACGATGCAGCCCCCAAGATGCAGTGGCTGCAGACAGCATGGGTGGTTGGAGGGCTCAGGGCTGAGGGTGAACAGTTTAGAGCAGGAGGCCAGGCAACTGGGTGGGCTGAGTGGGGGAGGAGGGAAGGGAGGCCTCCTCTAGGCCTGGCTGGTAATTGCTGCTAAGTGAGGGGCTGTCACTGAACCCAACATGTAAGCGGTGAGGGCCCACTCCGCACCCTGTAATTACTGCACCAGACAGCAGTGCCAGCTTGTCCTGGAGAGGGGGGTGGTGCAGAGCCAACAGGAAGCTCTCATCCACCTGAGCCAGTGGGCTGAGCAGCCCTCTGTCTCACAGGCAGCCTCCTCAGCCCCTCCTGGCTTGGATCTTCCCACATCACTGGGTTGAAACCAGAGCACTCTGTAATCCTGACCTCCGAGCCTACAGCACCCAGGACAGGCAGGAGCCAGATAAGGGAGGTTTCTGGAGCTTGGAGGATGGAGGCTCAGGGATAATCACAGTTCCAGTTCCTTCATGGGCCTCAGGTGGTCATGGCTGCTCCAGGGCCTCCGTCTCCCTGCCAGGCCCTCAACTCTCAGGGGATCCCTCAAAAGCAGGCGTGGGCAACAGCTCACTTTTGGAAACCAGATTTTACTGGAATGTGGCCACGCCCCTTTGTGTCTGTGCCATGCAAAGCTTCTTTCCTGCTTCAAGTTGCAACAGACACCATATGGTCCTCAATGGAAATATTTACTATCTGCCCCTTCCAGAAGTCTGCGGTCCGGCTCATGTTCTGGGCATCACCAATTCTACAGAGCCCCTTCTGGGTCTTTGCCCAAAGCCATGCAGACACCCCTGCGCCAGGCACCCTCTGCTGCCAGGGCTTGCACAGGGGTGGCAGCAAGCGGGCTGGAGCCACGTGCAGGCCAATGGCGCCACCTGCTGTGAGTGCCTGAAGCATTTTTACAGAAAAGCCTTACCCTGGGCCAGCGGCTGCCCTGCCAAGGCAGAGGGAACCAAAGTGAATCCCTCCTGCCCAGCCACTCAGTAAATTTTCTTTTCTAGGTCTTGGTCTCTTGGTTCCTGACGGCAGTTTACGAATACATGCATACATTGGATGTAGGAGAAAACAAGTAAAGGACAGGAGCCTACCACAGAGGGCCTCTGACTCTACCTAGCAGCGTATCAAAGCAGACAGTAAGACTCATAACCAAACCTTCGGCAGAGTACAGGGAATCATATGAAAGAAGGGGGAGTTAGTAAGACCTGGAGAGGACAGGAGCGCCACAAGGACCAAATATATCAGGGCACAGGGGTCTTTCGTGAGACTGTTTCTCTAACCAAGGACCATGTATGGATATAACCTAGAACCCCTGCTCGGATATAGCCCATGGTAGCTCAGTGTCCAAATGGGTTCTCTAATAAGGGGAACAGGGACTATTTCTGACATGAACTCAATGGCGAGCTCTTCGAACCCCCCCCATCCCCCCACCCCCCCACCCCGAGGGAGGAGCAGCTTTGCTAGGCCACAGAAGAGGACATTGCAGCCAGTCCTGAAGAGACTTGATTAAGCTAGGGTCAGATGGAAGGGGAAGAGGTCCTCCCCTATTAGTAGACTTGGAAGGGGGCAGAGAGAAGATGAGCGAGGGAGAGTGGGATTGGGAGGGAATGAGGAAGGGGGCTACGGCTAGGATACAAAGTAAATAACCTGTGATTAATATAAAAAATAAATTAAAAAAAAAGAAAACATGCATAACACTTAATCTGTAACATTCTCCAGAAAGCCTGGGATACACTCTCTTTTTTTTTTAAACAGACACAACCTACATCACAGAGAAACTAAGTCATTGGCTTTCAGTCACACAGCAAGTACACGACAGAGCCAGAATACAAATCTGTGACAGTGGCAAACTCTCCAGAAGATGGTACTGAGAAAAACTCATTTATTTCCTGTGGTAGATCCGTGGTGTGGCCCAAGGGTGGGGTCTGGGACACAAACAGGAGCATGAGCTACAGAAGGCAGGGCAGAGGACAAGGCCCCAGGCAGGGAAAGCAGGAAAGGCCAGGCCCCTGGGCTCTCCTTGCTCTCTTGCCTCAGGCAACACTAGGCAGCGGAGAAGGAAATCATTATTTCAACTATAAATAATCTACCTTCTGAGGAAGCTGCTGTCCAGGTGATGAGGCCCAGCCTCTTTAGGATTCCTTCCCAGCTGTCCCGCAGTCTAAACCTGAGAAACTACCATACCTCTGAAGTTCACCCTGGCTCTCGGAGTCAGGACAACTGTGGGGATGAGGCCCCAGGCTCCCTTCACTGACAGCTTGGGTCCTGGGTGAGTCAGGACCAAGCTCCAGAGGGAAGGGTCTCCGAGGCCACTACTGCGGATACCCTCAGGAACCAGCTGGACCCCAGTCCCCGCCAGCAGCGCTGACTGCAGAGTGGCCTGCTTCCATGGCTCCTGGGCTGGTCACTGTTGCCCCTGGGTCACAAAATACTCATCATCTTCTTCCTCCTGCTGGCTGCTCCGGAGCAGCAGCAGCTCTAGGTCAGCGCTGGAGCCTGGGCCCTTCAGGGACTTAGGGCCACTGTCACCTTGGGGTAGACACACCAGTTACTGGCCTCGTAGTCTTCTATGGAGATGGCCCTGTATCCTCCCAGGGTGTCAGCACCATCTGGCACATGTCCCCAGCTACAGCAACAGTGGGTGAGAGGTAGATGGATTACGTTCGGTAATATTAAGTCTCGGGGAGGAAGCCGCCTTACCTCTGGAATGCAGGGCTTTGAGGGCCACGTGCAGGGAGATGCCAGAGAGGCAGAGGGCAAAGCCCAGCCAGTTTAAGAGGCTGATCTGGTCACCCAGCAGGTGAGCTGCCAGCAGCAGGGTGCAGACTTCCTGTGAGGAGAAGCAGGATAATGGGGTCAGAAGATGGCTCTGTGGCCAGGAGGGCAGGATTCTGTGCACACTGAGGCCAAAGCCAGCTCGGCTGGTACGACAGACAGAAGTCGGGGACCTCTGTGCCCAGGTCGCTGGCCTGCAGAGCTGCTGTTACTGAGATGCAGATGCATGGGCGCTTTCCACACACTCCTAGAAAAAGCAGACGGCCAACCAGCTCCCAGACTACAGCACAGGTGGCCCCAGGAGTAAGGGACTCTGCTGTTGCTAGGCACCCACAGATGGACAGCCCTCAGCATGGCTTTGGGGAGGCATGCCTCTCCTCGTCATAGCTGGATGACACTCTGCACTCAAACATTTGCTTTGGGTGTCACTGCTCCTGCATGGCGTCTACCTGGACAGAGGGAAATTCCTCCACAGACCTGACCCGTGTGCTTGGCTCTTAACACTGGGACTTATCACTGATCAACACTGAGTGCCCCAGGCCACTGCCATGTAACCAAGCAGCCAGTCAAGTACGATGGTAAGCACGGCCCAGGCCTACTGCTGGGAGGCCTGGCCTGTATCCCCAGCGGCATGCACTGGGGAACAGTTCTTCCTCAGCTCTGCAGGGGCAGACCACGGCACATCCACCCTCTCCAGTCTCTCCTCCAACCCTTTCAGGGTGCAGACACAGGAACAGAGACTTCCAGGGCAGGTTTGGGGTCACTTCCCTGTGTGTACCTTAAAGATGCCAGCGATGGAGAGAGTGAGACTGGACGTTCTGGAGACCAGGAGGAACTCCGAGAAGCCCAAACCAAAGGCCAGAATCCCGCCAAGGAGGAGGCTCCCAAGGACCCGTAGGAGCAGTCCCATGTCCTTGAAGCGGAAGATTTTCTCAGAGGTGGACAAATGGAGACCTGAAAGCAACAGGGAGAGAGCGGGAGGCCAGGGCCTGGGCAGCCTGGCTCACTCTACTCAGCGTCTACTGTGCTTCTCTGGCATAGGGGGGAGCGGGAGGGTCTTGCTGAGTGTCTGAGGGTGGAAAAAGAATAGGAGCTTTAAAATAGTTCCTCACAGATGGCCTGAGAGCCAGGGACCAAGGCGGCTTCTACAGAATCCAGGGAAACACATGTCCATTATCAGAAGAGGGAGGAGCTGAACCTAAGGCCTGAGGGAGAGGCTGATTGCACAGGAATGCAAAATGTATGAACGCAGGACCCTCACCTTTAGATTATGTGCAGGTGAGTACACAGACACGTCAATGGAACCCAGCGCGTCATGGGAGACACATGCTCTACCACTGAGCAAGACGGCCCAGCTTAAATATGGGCTATGTATGGACTTGGGTGGAGAGGTGTCCCCCTTTTAGCTGGGTTTCCCTGCTGACAGAATGACAGGACTGGGGGCTAGATCGTCATTTTTCTCCAACAAGCACTATAATCTAAGGAACATATCTTAAAAAATAAAACAAAACAAAACAAAACAACCCAACTGCCCTCCAAAATGAAGAAACAAACAAACAGACAAAATCCAAAAAAGCCCAGAGCTGAATGTGGCGGTGCACAGCTGTGATCACAGCACCTATAGGACGTGGGGGGCAGATGATGGGCCCAAGCACAAAGAAAGCGCAAGACCAGCCTGGTCTATACAAGACCCATCCCCAAACAAAGCCAAACCACACATATGTAAATTCATGATAAAGCTACAGCCCCCTGCTCCCGAGCACACTGCACAATGCACCAATTCTTGCTTCAATTTTCGAGAGCTGTGGCCCCTCCTTCTCAAAGAGCTCCTGGGCTCTTCCCACAGCAAGGCCCCATGGTGTGTCAGAGCGGGGAAGGTCATTTACTGGGCACAGTGGACGCAGGGGGAGCTGAAGGCAGACATGAACTTTGGGGGGTCGAGGAGGAGGAGGGGGCACAGACATTCACCCACGGTGTGCCCCAGGCCAACAGCCTGGGGATGCGGGCCATCTTGTTTGGTGCTGGGCTCAGCAGTACTGCAAAGGCAGTGGCAAATTGAAGGGAATTCGGGGAAGAGCAACATAAGTAATGAAGGCGCTTGGGGGATTAATTTACCAGAGAAGATTAAAGGAGCTAAATCCATGCAGCTTTGCTAAGTGGCGGCAACCAGGGGCTTTCGGATGAGGTTTGCGGAGCGGGGGATGGCGAGGATGCCTGGGGAGGGGGTGAATGTGGTGTTTGCTACGAGGGGCATAATGAAGGAATGGGGAGAGATTTTAAAAAGGAAAAGCATGAGGCTTCACACACAAGTTTCCTGGACAACGGGGCTGCAGAATAATTTTCTCAGGGCGGCTGGAGACGCTTCGCTGCTTGAAACTTAAATGGATGTGGGATGGAATTTTCTGTAATGACCCTGAGGACAGTTGGGACTCTGAGAAGGAAGGTAAACAAGGGACAAAGACTAATCCCAAAGCACTGGGGACGGATGGCAACATCCTGTCCACCTTGTACACCTGCTGGCCTGGCCTCTGCTCTGGAAGCCACAGGAGTCTGGAACAACTGTGGATGTACCCAGGCTGTCCCCCCAGTCCCAGCTGTGGGAATGGCCACTCTGCCACGCTCCCTAAACATACATGGTTGAGCCTGCTGCCCTGCTTGCCAGGGTGTCCTGGTGTCATCAGTTCACACACCCACCACTCATCCTCATCCCCTTTCCCGACCCAGGTACTCCACCTGGGACAGACCTGACTCTGCTCCCTGGGAGACGTGTGCACTGTGTGACAGGAGGCCTAGCCTCCTGATGCCAGGCTGCTGGGCACCCAGTCTGGCTTGCTTATGGGGCTTTGGGTGAGCTTTCACCCTTCTTGTTTCCTCAGTTTCTTTCTCCTGCCGGACAGAGCTGATGACAGTCCTCCGCCTCTGATGAAAGGGGGGTGAGAAGCTAGCATATTTACGACGTTGGAGACAGCTTCGGTGCCTATGCAGCAATCCACATGGTCTGGAGTGACTCCTTGTCTTTCACATGTAATTTCTCTGTACCCATCATGTGAGATTCTAGCCAGTCTGTGTGTCTGTCTAGTCCCAAACCACAACCTCTAGGGAGGGACTGAGATCTGGATCTGGGCAACCTCTGTTGGGGGCACCGTGCTGAGCTCAGAGCAGCAATGTTCGATCTGCCTACTACGGTGCTCAAATGGCGAAGACCAAGCATACCTTCAAAAATGGCAAAAAGAGGGAAGAGCCCCAGGAACATGAGTGGCTGCAGGTGGAACATGGTGTCAATGGGATTCTGGAGGCCTGCAAGACAGGACACGGGAAGGTGTGAGGCCTGGACGTTGGCCTGTGTTTGCCCAGCCCCAGCCCTCCCCAGACACTCACCCAGGTCGGCTTTCTGCAGAAGCATTTGTGTAAGGGTCCAGCGGATGCCACCGATGAACGAAGCTCCCAGCACCAAGGCAAAGCCCTCCACATTGAACTGCGTGGACTTATAGGTAAACATGAAGAGGCCCCCAGCGATGAGGAGGACCACCAGGACCAGGGCTGCACGCTAGAAGGGGAGGAGTGCAGCTCGCTCAGGGCTCAAGTCACATGCTGGGCGGGGGACAGCGCAGCTCACTGGGAGCTCGGGGCTCAAGCATGTGCCACATTTGAAGCTGGGGACCATAGCCGCACTTCTTGCCTCACCACCTCCAAAGGTCCTGGTCCACTGATAGGCACAAGGCTGACATGCAGCTGACATGTTCCTAATGTCAGATTTGTTTTGAAATACTCAAGTACCCCAACAACACACAAGAGCCACTAAATTGCTCCATGGGAAGCCCAGGGCCCCAGGCCATGCCGACCCTGCTGCACTTGTTTCTGAACCCTCTGTCATCACGCCTATCTAGGTCCCCTCCCTGAGAAAGGAATCAATATCACAGAGTGACAAGCCACTGCTCAGATTTCCTCTTTCATCCTGGGCCTCTGCAGCTGACATGGGGGCGAGGGGTGGGATGGGGATGGGGTGAGACGAGGGATGCGGGGCTCACCAGCTCCTCCAGCTTGAAGATCAGAGAGAAGATGAGGATAAAGAGCACGGCGGACGATTTGGTCATTGTGTACCTGCGGCAGACAGAGACCACCATGCAGGCTGCAGACCCCAGCTGAGGGCAGTCAGGCCCCAAAGACCAAAGGGAGCCAGCCAGTGGTCTGGGTCTGTGCCAGTACGTGACCTTTTGTGGAAAGAAGTCTCTAGGAGGCCTGACTGTCACTGGGGAACGAGCTGTGGGGCTGATGCCAAGCTTCCACAGTTCTGCTCTCTACCTGGCTGTTGGCAGAGACCAGGTAAAGAAGGATGTGAGAAACTTGGACAAAGAGACGAGGGACTCTCTGAAGCAAGACATCGGAGCTGACTGTGGATCTGCTGGGCTCTGACAGGCTCCAGGAATGCTCCATGCCTGGGCCTCTCTGCTGCCTGAACCTCTCACTCCCCAACTCCCAAACCCAGCCCCACACCTGCCAAGCAAACTGTGACTGCTGTCTCATGTCCTGGCTTCCCTTTGCTGCCTGGCAGGCAGGTACACTGTATCTCTCTGCACCGGGCTTCCTGGAGTGCCGCTGGGTGCCAGGGAGGAGCTGAGAGACAGCAAGGGCTGGTCCCAGACAGTGGTGGAGTAGCTGGCCTACTGCTGGCTACAGACGCTGCCAGCTGGACAGGGCAAATGAGTCTGGAGGGGGGAGAAGGGCATGTGGAGGGTGTGGCCAGTACTCACAGTGACACGGTGATGTAGAGGAAGCTCCAGTTGGACAGGCCCACATCAAGTGCTGTTGCCAGTGCTGTGGGGATAGGAGACACCCAGCCAGGGCAGCCCGTTGGCATGTGGCTGAGGCACCTGAGGCCCTGCTTGCCCTTTCTGTCCACCAAGCAACTAATGCTGGCCAAGGAGTCTATCGTGCTTAGGACTGGAGCCCATCCCGACTGGCCAGGCCTGTTGGTCTCCATTGCTAAATAACTTAAACAGTTCCAGACAAGAGTGCTAACTTGATCCTGCCAAACTGCTCACAAGGCACCTGTCCCTCTACAACTAGCCCAGCCTGCTGACTCCCCTTTCTCCCACACCTTCACCAGGAGCTCTCAGCTCCCTTTCTGACTTTACACTCCCAGGGCCAGACGCTTCCATCTACCCTTCAAGTCTTGCCCACCCAAGACTAGTCCTGGGAAATCTTTTAGCCCAATCCAGCATCACCACATGATGAAGCTCCCTGCTCTGCGCTTGGTGGAGCCCACTGAGGCCCATGTGAGCCGGCAAGGACAGGGATGCTCCCTGCCTTGCTGAGATGCAGGGGTGGGAGGTGGGAGAGGAGGATGGGGGGAAGGTGGAATGTGGCCTCAAGGCCACAAGGGCTCCTCTGATCTCTGGCCTAGGTGCTCCAGCAGCCCTCCCTGAGCTGGGCCTACCTGTGGGGGCCACTCTTCTGAGGTAGTCAGTCCAGCTGAGCACCACCCGGGCCCTGTGGCTGGAGCACTGAACCAGTGCCCTGGAGAGGGCGGAGAAGAGGAAGATCACAGCCAGGTGCAGCATGGTCATGAAGAGCGGAAAGTGGAAACTCTGTGGGGCCCAAAGCAGAAGGCAGGAGTGGAGAGGCTGCAGCCCCTCTCTCTCCTCACCATGGCAGAGGGGCCAAGCCAGTGCTCTGCGTGAGGAGTCAGCCCCGTGGAAACAAGGGGTGTGGAGGTCACACAGAAATGGCAGCCCAGGTACTCGATCCTAGCCCCGTTTCATCACCACCACCCCTGCTAGCCACCTGCTTTGCCCGCCTGGGACCAATGTCCAGGAAAAGCCACCACAACCTGATGCAGCTGTACCAACTACAACCATCTTCAGGCCAGTCCCCATCCTGGTAGGGACCCCGGTTACCTTGGTCAGCCATTTGTTGTAGAAGGTGATGCCTATGGAGAAGCAGTAGTACAGAAGGACCAGGCCCAGCGTCAGCACTGCCTTCCACACAAAGGCCACATCGAGGGCCCACCTCCCCATCTGTGGGCCAACAGGGACAGGAGCCTCTCTTGAAGATGGTTGGCGTCAAGAACCAGCAGAGCTGGAGCATGGTTTTCAAAGGACAGTTTCCCTGGCTGGAAGAGTCTTCTTGACTTCCATATTGTGGACCCCAGATGGAGTCCTCACCTAAGGGGCTGGTGGCCAGAGCCAAACTGTTCCATGGCCAGCTGGTCGCAGAGGTCACAGGTTCCCCGTTCTACTGCTGGAGAGAAAAGGGGGTGGGTGTCTGGCCACAGTAAGAACTCAGAGGCCACTGGTCCCACCCCAGTCCAGGTATGGACTATCCTCCACAATCTCCCACCAAAGTGACCTTTTGACAGATGAATGTAGTCTTGTCAGAGCTTGCTTCAGGCCTTCAGAAGCTCCCAGTGGCCTTCACAAAGGCCAAAGCCTGCCAGGAGTTCCGACATCTAATCTGGTCTAGTCTGTCTCTGCCAGTCTGTCCCCAGCACAGAAGGGATGAAGGGAATACCACCCCCATCCTTTCTTCCTTTCTCCATGCAGCCTACTTCAGTACAAACTCTCTTCCTCTGTCTGTGACCCACCATTTCTCCCCTACCTTCCTTTTGTAACAACTGAGAGGGTGTGATTTGAGTAGACCTTTTTTTTTTTTTTTTCCTTTTTAGTGCTGTCAACAGAAGCCAGGGCCTCATGCTAGGGCCCATGCTCCCACTGAGCCACGTCCCAAACCCCTTGAGTAGGATTACATTCTACAAGGGCCTCACACACCCCTGCATTCTCTATCTTCTTGTTCTGATGACTCTGTGACAGAGGCTGTGAAAGGGGTTTCAGGGGACTCACCAGGTCTTTAGGAGCTCAAGTGGACCAGGTGGACCTTGCCCTGGTCTCCAACTGCTACTCCCAGAGAGGAGGTGCCTGCCAAACCAAACTATCGCTTGTCAGTCAGCCCAGCAACACCAGGAGCGCCCCGGGCGAGCCTGGCTCAGGGGACACTGGGGTCCTGCCTCTGCCTGGGTGAGCTCTGGCCCACCGTTAGCACACCTGTTCCTCCAGGTGTGTGACAGGTGCTTCTCCCCCACTATGCTGAAATGCCAGCTCCTCTGGGATCAGACAGACTCCTCCCATACCAGTCTGGACAGACCACTCTGTACTCTGGAATCTGTTATCAAATCACTTCCCTGAGGGCAAACTGGGCTGGCTCTGGGCTTTCCCCAAAGGACTCCTGGACCGTGGCTATCTTCAGAGGAGCTTGGAACCCTGGGTGGTAGCCTGGAGGAGGCTCCTGGCATTTAGTGAGTGGACTACAAAGGCCCTTGCCTAAGGAGCTAAGGACGGTTCTGCATTCTGAGCACCTCTAACATTCACAGAGGCCGAGGATGGGCTACTGATTTCCGTAAACAGTTTTCCAGGGCTCTGCCACACATTGAAATTGTTAAGAGTACCATGTGTGCTGCCAAAATGGAACCAAGAGTTCCCATCCTGGAAACCCACTTTGTTGACACGAGCTGCTGGCATGGTAGCGGTGAGCTTCCCCTATGGTGGGCTCATTCTCGTGTATTCTACAGCAGAGGAACTCACCAGTGGCCTCACTGTGATGCCAGCACCACTCTGCCAGAAACTGACAGATGGAAACATGGTTTATTTTATCATAAATTACCTTTGTTTTATACTATAGTTTGGGAGCCACTGATTTCCAGGTTAGCAAACAGGCTGTGATTAAAAGAAAGGGGTGGCTCCAGGGGAGAGGTACTGCCCAAACTGGCCTAATGTAGCCTTCCATCTTGACATACTCTCTACAGGCTGCCATCTCCCGGCAAGCAGCCGGCTGTGGTCACCATGAGCCCTGGAGGCAGATCCAACTGCTGACTGGACCTAGTCACCTGGGCCACTAGTCTCAGGCTCCTGTTTACACTGCTACACAGTTGGGGACACAGGGTCTAACCTACTTCACACAGATCTCAAGGTCCACATTCTCTCAATGCTAGGGCCTTAGAGCCTAGCACTACAGAATCTTTCTCAAGAAGCCTGTCTTGCATACCGCGATTCATCAGCAAATCCCTGTTTCTACCCCCTGGATGCCAGAAGCATTATGTCCCCAACCCCAAGTTGTAACAACCCATACTGTGTCCAGAAATGACCTAGCCTGTGGAGGGCCTGCGTTGAGCCTCCAACACTGCAGGAGACAGTCCACACAATGCTCCTAGAGAGACAGCGCTCCCTGTGAAACAGTGCTCCCTGTAAACCACCACTTCCCCTTCCCAGGCAGTTGAGGGGCGTGCTACATGGCAGGGCAGCCTGTTCCCTTTTCTCTCAACTTAGTTTTGATCAGTTCCTACTTGGTCACTATATTGCCCTCTGTCTTACTGTTCAAGGCCCGTCTTGCCTTCAGAGTTTGTCCAACTCCTCCCCCACCCCACCCTCCAGTCCCCAGGCCCCTAGGAGCACCATGAAGAACATCACCTATCCCCAAACACAAAGCCAGGCCTCAGCTGGCTAGAAAGGACCCCAGGAAGCATAAAGCTACTCACTCCACAGGTCATCACCATGCAGTGGTTTGCCTCACACTGGACATACAGACGTGAAACTGCTAAGGTCCTCACCCTCGCTCCATGGGAAAGGAGAGCCGGCTTCCCAATCACATCTGCCCAAGCCAGGAATTCAGTCTCCCTTTCCCCAAGAAAAAGCAGCTACCTCAGAGCAGGGCGGGGCTACGCTGTGGCACCTGGCTGCTCTCTACCTCCTCAGCTGTACCTCGGATGTGTAGCTTAGTGCTTCAAAGCACTGGCTCTAATGTCAAAGAGAAAACCCTCTGTGTCCACCTACTACTGAGACTCCAAGTTATCTTGCCTGTGTGGGCTCAGTTTCTCTGCTTTTTGGGCAGGGGTGTCACTGGCATGAGGAGTGGCATTTAACAACACTGGCCCATAGCAGAAGCCATTCCATCACCTAGAGTGAAGCTTTCCAATGTCAGGCCATTCACCCAGGCCACCCCTGCTGCTCCTTCCCTGTCACCTCTCCAGGGCCCAAGTTTCTGTGGCTCCTCTCATGAAACTGGCCACTTCCTCCTCAGAGACCTATTATTGTGTGCAACTTGCCACGGTCTCTGGAGTCTTCTGCTTTCTGGACAGCTTCTTGGCCAGTGTCCAACTCAGCCAACAAGAACTTGGTTCCAGCTGCCTGAGGGCTGGAACCCAGCTTCTCTTTTCTGCCTTCATTCCCATCCCACCAAGACCACCCCACTGCCCTTCAGGCAGCTCCAGCTGACAGCTCAACCTCAAGGTGCTGCAAGGAGCTCTCTTAATATTCCTGATCAAGGTCCCCAGCCAACTCTGAAGACACTTAGAAACAGCCATCTTAACAACTGTTTACTTCATCAATGAAGTCTCTGCTGTTCCCTGCGTTCCACATATTGTTAGTGTTGTCAACCTGACAGACTCTAGAATCACCTGGCAGATGGGCCTGGGAGCATACCAGTAAGGGATTCTCTTGATCAGGTTTACTGACGTGAGGAGGCCCATATGCTCGTGGGTAGGGGCTGCTGGACTGCATGAAGGAAAAGGGGCACGAACAAGCATTCATGGCTCTCAAGATTCCCTGCTTCTGGACTGTGGATGGGATATGGCCAGCTGCTTCAAGCTCTTAGTGCCCTAACTTCCACAGGACGGACTGCATATTGAGCTGTGGGGAAAATTTAAGGCCCTCCTTCCTTAAGTTGCTTTTGTTAAGAGTCTTCCACCACAGTAACAGGGAAAGGAATACATGATAGATGGCCTCAATAGACTGGCGACCCCTGGGCTGTGGCCACAAGTCCTCCCTAGACCCTGCCTGCCTACTGCATCCTCACGCTCGGCGGCGGGCCCAACACGTCAGCCAGTGTCCTCGTCCTCCTCGGTTACCTGATGCTTCCGTCCCCTTCCCCCAGGGACCCCACTGCGCGTGGCACTTCCCACCGCGTGACGACTGTGTTTGCTCACGTGTCCCTGCCGCGCCCGCCGGCTGCGTCTGTCGGTCTGGTTTCCCCAAAATCCGGCCCCTCGTAAGTGCTTGGCAAATGCCAGGCGAGCGGGCCCAGGGCCACAGGAAGGCTGGGGAAACTGAAGCCCGGGCCGGGGGAGAGAGAGCAAGGGCCCGCCTACCGCACGCCCACTTACCTCCGCCCAGGCGCTCAGCCCAGAGACTCCTGCCGGAAGCGCGAGCTGAGGACTGTGCCGCTGGAGGCAAGACTTCCGCCGGAAGCCGGCGAGGGTGGGCGGAGCTAGAACGTCCCTAACTAATGCGGCCACAGCACGCGTTCGAACATCATCCCTTTGTATCTTTCCCTAAACTAGCACCAGGAACGAATCACAGATACTAATAAGTCTCTCGTGGGCTTTTTTTTCTTCCGGGACCTCAAGCAACTGGGAAATGATGTGAGAACCATTACGTTTTAGAAAGACGTAGATGATCCCAGCAAAGTAATAATGGACATTTTGTGAAATTACATATGCCTGCACGTTTATGAGAGTTCAATAGGCTGAGTAGGGGAGGGTCATCCCAGAGGAAAGGGAACCCAAAAGGAAGGGGTGAGAAGGAGCCAGTGCTTTTCCTGGGAGCCCAGGAAAGCAGCGGCCTCAACGGCAACCTAAAACAACCAGATTCGATTCATGTTAGGTGCAGGGGCAAGAGAACCACTAAGCCATGCAAACTGGGGTTGCAGACCCGAGCTGGCCCGGTTCTCTGCTTTTGCTCTTCCTTTGCACATGACTTGGCTGGGCTCCTGACTCCTAGCAGAAGGCTCAAGGCCAGAGTGTAAGCTGTGCTTTTGTGCACACTGCTGCTGTAGGCTGCTGCCAGCTGGCATGATGAAAGCGTTAGTTCTTTCAATGCTTCCTAAGACCTACAATGGCACCCAGCGCAGCCCAAGGTCTTGGCTTCATTCAGCCCTTAAGGCCTGTGCTGCATGCACTTTCTATGCCTTCTGAAAGCGCCTGTCCTCATCCCCCTCCTAACAGTGGCAAGAGGAAGTATCTATTTTCATCACTGTCCTCATTCAAGCCTCCCAGCTACCAAGGCTGCTGATGGGAGCAACAGCTTAAAACACCAGCTGGAAGGCTGGGCACCGAGTACAGGCAACACACAGGGTGCAGAACATGTCTTCTTTGAAAGGCACAAGTACTCGAGCTGTTCCCTGGCTGTGTCCCTGGCAGGGAAGAGAGGGAGGATGGGTTCTTGGGGGTGTACAGTATGCCTCTCCGCGTTGTGCCCAGCAGGGCTGAGCAGGAAACACTCTGTCCTGTACCACAATCTGTGAGCATCCTTAGCCAGCAGGTGTGAGTAGTCTGTGCATGACAGAGCAGGAGAGATGAGGGGAGAGGAAGGGGCTCTTAGAAGGTGGCGTTCTCCAGATGCTCTCTGCAGCTTAAAATGAAGGCTGCCAGGTGACTCCCTACCCTTGGGGCGGGGAACAAGTGCAGAGGAGCAGGTGTTGATAGGAACCAGTCTACATGAAAGAGTCTTTATTGAAAACACAACCACTGACAGGAAGCTTCTGGCTGCTCTCCGGTTACATTCTTAGCTCATGATTGAGAGCACTACATTTTTGCTCTCAATTTTATTTTCCCTTAAACATTCTATCCTAAGATAGGAAGATCTTATATAAATATATATACACGTCTGTATAAGTATGGCCTATAGTAAAGAAAATATATAGTACACTCTTCATTGGGTAGTACCTACCATGCCAGGCTGCCAGTACTGAATACCACCATGTTAACATGCGTCCAAGGAGAGAGGCTCTGCGTGTGCTTCAAGTGCTGCAGCACCAGAGAAGGCCCATGGCACAGCTGTGGCCCCAGCCGCTTCTTGAAATCATGGCTAATGGCAGAAACCACAGTGCCAGGAGGGAGAGGGAAGGCAAACTGCCCCGAGTCTGGGGGCAAGAGGAAGCAAACAGAAGGGCCTGTAACCAAGGGGTATGGAAACATTCTTCCTCAGCAAGGAAAAGATAGAAATGGAGGGGTGAGCTGGAGGCCTTAGCCTGACTTTCCCTGCAGCATTCCTGGAGCCTAAGACAGCAGGCCTCAGGCTGGAGACCTGTGCCTCGCTAGGGTGAGACTGAGTGCTTGGGGGGAAAATTAATACCTCTTCTGATAGCTGCATGGGCAAGAGAAACGGATACCTCTAGAGACTAGAGATGTTAGGACCAATCCCAGAGGCAACAGCATCTTGGCACAGGATGAGGCTGGAATGAACCCTCAGAGACCTTTTAAGCAAAAGCTCAAGGCCTGTCCTTGCCTGAGCCACTTGAAGACAGTCACTCCAAGGCTCACCCCTTCCCCAGGAACTCCTGTCTCCATTGGCAGCCTTTGCCAGGCCAGCTCCAGCCCAGCAAACTGGAGAGTAGATTCGAAAGGAAAGAGGATGGCTGTCAGTAAGTCCAGTTCCAGGTGCAGACTCAGGGCAGGAGGCAAGAGCATCCTGAGTCCACTCCTCACCCTAGGCCCAGTGGTGCTGAGTTGGGCAGCATGCCCTGACTTCATGACTCCTAGTGGATGGGACCAAGAAAAGCTCTGGGTCCCAGTGGGTTTGAGTAGTAGTTGCCACAATCACTACAGAGTTTGTACAAGTGGAGGGCAAGGCACAGGCTGCCAGTGTCTCTCCTGGACCCTGGGCCCTTCCTGCTCAGCCGTAGTGATAGACAAAGTCATAGCTGCTGGGCTCCTTGGGGACCGGAGGTGGTGCCTCAGGGATCTGGATGTTCTCCAAGTCCAGAAGCCGCAGCTTCATCTCCATGCTCAGCAGTGTGTCCAGGTCACTCTTGGTTAGCTCGCTGGACATGTCCTTCCCCAGGAGGGCGCTGAGTCCGTCAATCCAGATACAGTACTGTGGGCAAGTTGCAAATGTGACACAGTGGCCGCAGGGGCTGTAGTGGGACCGAGGGCAGTGCTGTTTGGTACCCTTCAGAATACGCAAAACTCATAGGAGACAAGAGCAAGGATGGACAGGAGATGACCATCACTGCCAATGACGGTTTTATGGGGGATTGATGTGGAAACTTTCAAAAAAGTAATAGGAAATGTGATCTACAATGCAATTAAGGAATGTAAGATGGAAATCAGTACCGGAGCAGTGAGAAGAAATGGGAGCAGAAAACAGACACTCAATGAAAAGAGCAGGAAGCACACAGGAACTTGGTATTGCAATTTTGTTAAAAAAAAAAAAAAAAAAAAAAAAAAAAGCTGATTAATGTTTAAAAAAAAATGTTTTAAAGGAAAGTACAAAAGAAATTGACATTGCCTGCATGACAGAAAATGCTTGTAACATCCAAGCACTTGGGAGATAAAGGCAGGAGAATTGAGGGCTCAAGGGTAGCCTCAGCTATAGCAAATTTGAGACCAGCTCCAAGCTACATGAGACCATGTCTCAGAAAAACAAAACAAGTAACAACAAAAATTAAGCCAGCTCTCAGAACACAAGGGTATAGCAGAGGCTAAGCTCTGCCAGCCCTCTGTTGCTGTTTTCCTTTTCTGGGTTTTGCTCACGGGGCTTTGCTGGAACTACTGGCCCCAGCACTGCTCCTGAAGCCTGACCCCCAGTGCTCAACCATAGGACCTCAACTAATGAGTTAACTGAGTTGAGCACTAACATCTTCCTGGGCTGCAGGGGAACTCTCCTTGTTAGGAGGAGCAGATCCATCTGGAGCCACAGCCTAGACTGGGTCTGCTCCATCTAACTGCCATTCAACTCACCTGGGAAGACGTGCTTTCGAGATTACAGAGGAAACCTGTCCCCAGACCAGGCTTAACCTTCTAATAATTGCCAGCTGCTCCTAAGGAGCAAGGTGAAAGGCTGGGTGTGGTGGTGTACATCTTTAATTCCAGCTCTCAGTAAACAGGGGAAAGCAGATCTCTGTGAGTTCCAGGCCAGCCTGGTCTACATCTCTCTCTCTCTCTCTCTCTCTCTCTCACACACACACACACACACACACACACACACACACACACACACACACACACACACACACACA